ATAAACAACACGGAAAGACAACCCTCACAATGGGAGAATATTTGCAAATATTGCAACTGACAATTTGCAACAAACAGTTGCAAATGAAGCAACTGACAAAGGACTAATCTCCAGAATTTACAAGCAGCCCATGCAGTTCAATATCAAAAAAAAAAACAACCCAATCCAAAAATGGGCAGAAGACCTAAGTAGACATTTCTCCAAAGAAGATATACAGATTGCCAACAAACACATGAAAGGATGCTCACCATCACTAATCATTAGAGAAATGCAAATCAAAACTACAATGAGGTATCACCTCACACCAGTCAGAGTGGCCATCATCAAAAAATCTACAAACAATAAATGCTGGAGAGGGTGTGGAGAAAAGGGAACCCTCTTGTACTGTTGGTGGGAATGTAAATTGATACAGCCACTATGGAGAACACTATGGAGGTTCCTTAAAAAACAAAATAATAGAATTACCACATGACCCAGCGATCCCACTACTGGGCATATGCCCAGAGAAAACCATAATTCAGAAAGACACATGTACCCTAATGTTCACTGCAGCACTATTTACAATAGCCAACTCACGGAAGCAACCTAAATGCCAGTCGACAGATGAATGGATAAAGAAGATGTGGCACATATATACAACGGAATATTACTCAGCCATAAAAAGGAACGAAATTGGGTCATCTGTAGAGACGTGGATGGATCTAGAGACTGTCATACAGAGTGAAGTAAGTCAGAAAGAGAAAACAAATATCATATATTAATGAATATATGTGGAATCTAGAAAAATGGTACAGGTGAACCAGTTTGCAAGGCAGAAATGGAGACACAGATGTAAAGAACAAATGTATGGACTCCAAGGGGGGAAAGCAGCGGCGGGGGGTGGTGGTGTGATGAATTTGGCGATTGGGATTGACATGTATACACTGATGTGTATAAAATGGATGACTAATAAGAACCTGCTATATAAAATATAAAGAAATAATAAAATAAAAAGAGTAGATAAATATTATACAGCAGTAGAAATGAATGAACTGAAACTACACCCATCAACAATGAAGAATCTTAAAGATGTAATGTTGAACAAAAGAAGCAAATTATAGAGGAACACAAACAGCATGGTTCCATTTATATTAAATTTGAGAACAGACAAAACTAAACATTATATCATGTAGAGATATATTCAAAGGTAGTAAAAGTATAAAGGAAAAGCAAAGAAGTGATTGTTCAAAGGTCAGGATGATTGTTACCCGTGGGCCTTTTCCCTTTGGGAAAAGGCACAGGGGGAGAAATGTTTTACTTTTTATCCTGGATGGTGGCTACACAGGTACTTACTTTATTACTATTCTTTAAAGTAAACTCCAATGTTTTGTGCATGCTTCTGTATATAGGGTATCTGTCACAATAAAACTAAAATATTTAAGTGAAAAAAAAGAGATGATGTCTTCAAGTGAATAGGAAGTTCAAAGGATGCTTCAAGTTAATTTTCTTTACCTGGCTTAATTTTATTGGAGATAAAATAAAGATTTTTCAGTTTTCAAAATGTTAACCACGACTGAATTGTGATGACACTAGAGATTTATAATTGGAGCATGACTCTTTGAATTTTTCCTCATTTTAATTCTAAAGTTAACTGTTATAAAGAGCCCTGTTGGAATAAAGATCTTTTCAGAAATGTTTCCTCTCTATCCCTTAATATGAAAAGTATGAATTTTTATTAGTTTTGACTGAATTACAGTTTATTTTTGCTTGAGACTAAACATAAGTTTCGTAATCGTGTGTGCTCCGTCCCTTGCCAATGGGTGATGCATGTGTCATTCCACAGGCTTAGTTTGAAGTGTGGACCTGATCTTCCCTGACAAAATAGAGTATTTTTGAGGCAGATTTGGAATGGCTTCTCACTCCTCTAGCAATCCTACCTGTGTGTCGGCCAAAGTACACAGACTTTCGCCCCTCCTGAAAGGACAGGATTCTGGTGATATAGCCATAATTTCTTTTGCGAGGTAAGATATGGCCTCTGCTCAGAAGGACCTCAGAGATTTTGGGGGGATCAGGCAGGAGGACAGACAAGTTCTGATTTAAGACCATAAACTCTGTAACAATGGAATCTTACTGTGCTCTCAATACACAGTGGCAGAAGAATGGAGTTCTGTCTTGGGAGAGTCAGCTTCAGCTTTCCATGAGTTGGGCTTTGGCATTGAGAATGTGCCGGGGGAAGACCAGCTTGGGAGAGAGGGTGAAGTATGATGTTATGGTCAGAGGACATGGGATGCCCAACACTCAGTGTTGTGCAAGGGCCTAGGCGCCCTGGGGGTGCAGACAAGGGGAGCCCAGGAGGCCTTAGGAGGGGAGTTGGAAGGGACATACCCTGGACATCTCAGGAGTATTCATGACTGTCCCTGCTCTGCATTTAAGATTTCTAGCTCATAGCTGTTCAGTTCTGATCAATGAGCTGAGCAACATGACAAATATTTCTTACACAGGGCTTAGCGAGGCTTAGAGGATAGAAACAGGAGTCAGCAAAGTGCCCTCAGGGGACCTTTAAGACCATCTTGCTTTGTAGTCATCGTGTTGCCATGAAGATTAGCTTCTGTCCCATCTTGCTGCCAGAAAACTCTCAATGACCTTCAAGTGACTGAATATCTTATCTTTTGAAAAAGAGAAATAACAAAGGATAAAGTTATTGCCCAGAAAACCCACCCAAAAGATTGAAATTGCTTATTATCTTGGACATTTTCATCAAATCTATCTTATTGAAGGCTTTTAATGTTAAGGTGCTTAAATATTTAGCCTAGAATGTGCTTTTCAGCCTTATTTGAAGAATGTGGTCATTTGTGTGCTAATGTATTAGTTATACTACTATTATAAGGTTAGATTGGCAAATATATTTGTAAAAACCCAGGAAAGATTATCCTTGATTGCTTTCATTTTAGGTCTAATGGAAATATTTTTTAGGTTTCAGACATCTCTGAACCTTGATCTGTGGCTATATTTCCCATTACAATTGAAAGCCTTTTTTTGTCACGTGGTTCCCATTGATCAGCCTCCTGGGAAATTCTAAATATGTGAACCCTTGTTTTCTGATGAACATTTTGAAGCAGAAAAGGCTCTTTTGCATTTTATTCTTTCAATTCAGCCTGTGCTATTTGGGAATCAATGGGAAAATGGAAATGGAGACTTCTGGGTGCAGAGGCCATACACACTCAAGTGAAGAACAGTTACCAGTTTTATGCTTTAATCTTTAAATTAGTTTGACCTTGAATATTACCATGAGTCCTGGGTTTGTTAAGGACGATGAGTCAGGCAGGCTCCATCAAGTCACTGGAGGCAGAGAGGGAGCTAGGAGATGGCTTGGGGCCGGGAGCATCTCCTACCTGGCGTGAGGCAGTGGGCTTGGGGTGGTGGTTTCCGGGAGAAATGTCAGGCAGATATCTGAAAGACACTTTAGAAAAATATCTGGTAGACTATTATTGTTCATAGGTTGGATATGAGGGCAAAGGATAAAAAGAAATGAAAAACCATCCATTCTAAAATGCTTTACCAGGCTCAAATAAATCATTAATGTGACTACAAGTAGGTAGTTCTGTTTCCTTTTTCTCTTGTATTTTCCCCCCTCATTCTTGAACCTTCCTTCTTAAGGCACTGACAACTGAAAAGGAAAGGAGAGAAAAAAAATCTCAACAAGAATAATCTCAGTGACAAAATGACGTGAGTCACTGGGTGTGGCAGTCCTTTGTACAGATATGAGTGAAGTAAGGAAGTGGAAATTAAGTAATACCATCCTGTTATTATTTGCTTTATGCTTATTTTTTCTTGAGGCTGTTGGGAAGGGTGAGTATATTGTTATATACATTCTTACATAGAATGTAATTTATCTTCCTCTCCAAATGGTAGGGGGTGAAGAGAGAGAGATTAGTCTATTCATCCATCTGGCACTCCAGTGAAACAACACCAGAAATTCTACCTTTCGAATGGGGTTGGATTTTTAAAGTTTTTTTTTTTTTTTAATAAAATGATAAAATACTATATACTCATGGTGAAAAATTGTAGGAAAAATCCTACAAGGACCCCTGTGCTAACAATATAGAAATGCACAAAGTGACATTCAAAGTAATTCATTCTCCTCTCAGTCCAACTTCAAGCACTTGCATACATACATGCACACATAGACTATTTGTTTTACACCAATGGGAACTGTACTTGCTATAAAGATTTTTTTCAAGGCCTCCATTTTGTTTGAATGGCCACTGAGTTCCCTAGAATGTTGTATATTTCCATGGCTGAGCTCCGTCTCAGGGGAACTACTCAGCGAGCACAGACTCACGTTCAAGTTGCCAGCATCATCAGGTCCCAGCTCCGTCCCCGCCAGCCTGGTGACCTTGCATTTGGATATTTGTTTCATCTGGTCTGAGGATCACATTACACGTAAAGCACAGCACAAGGGTCTGGAACGTAGTATGTGCGCAAGATGTTACCTTTCGCCTGTGGTGAACCGGTTGGTCTTTGGGAATGAAGTCTAAGGACAAACACTTCCTTCTCTCCTCTGCAGTTTTCCAAAGTATGACTGGGGCTCGTTTAAATATCTGACTCCAAATCTTTACCTTCAAGATACTGTTTATCAATTATATTGACATTTTATGTAGACTGTCTGGCTATGTTCTGTTTCTTTTGGAGACTTGGCATTTATCACTGATAAATTTTATCTTTCAAAGTTTTAACGTTCTGTAGCCCAGGCTTTGGGGCGTGTGGTCAGAGAAAGTACGTAAAAGACTTCATGGTGGGACCTACGAGCCGGTACTCAATCTGTTATTTTCTCCTAAGATGTGTTTTTACAACAACCTAAAGTCAAAGGTGGGCATGTGAATACATACACATGTGCACACACACCCCTCTGGGAATCAGCCTCCACACTGTTCAAGGGTTTTCCAACACTTTCCTTTTAAAGGCCATGGGAGCTGGAGACCCCTTAATGAGTCACCCCTTTTGCATCTGTTTCTCTGCAGGAATCCACTGTGAATCCTACAAGGACCCCTGTGCTAACGTCAGCTGTCTGAATGGAGGCACCTGTGACAGTGAAGGCCTAAATGGCACATGTGTCTGCGCACCTGGGTTTACAGGCAAGTGAGCCGGGAACTGAGTTTTCAAATTTACCACAAAATCCCTGAGATGGCAGCTGTTGAAAAAAACCCAGAAACCTCTATGCATACCTTAATTCAAAATATGAATTGCAAAATGTAAGTAGGCATTGCTTGGATGAAGAACCCTTTTAAAACAATCTACTGTGTTGTCATTAAGCAAGGCTCTTCTGAAATCAGCATTTGGTTCGGAGATCTGCTGAGACTGCCCTTACCATACGTTTGCAGCTTTGAAACATGAAAAATGAGCCATTACACTAACACCTGAAAAAGTGTCAGTGCTAATGGAAGCAGGAAGGAGAAAGGAAGGATCAGATGTGTCTTCTATAGAAATTGCATTACGCGACCACGTTTACTTTTATTGAAAGATACAGCAGTGTCTGGAATTCGAATAACGGAGAGGTGGTAGTGGCGGCGGTGGGACATCAGGGGGAGCTACTCTTAGTTCACGGTTGAATTATTAGTGAAGGTGAGGACGGTACAGGTGTGGGGAGGGAGAGTGGATGGGGGAAGAAAGCTGCTGATGGCAAAGCAGCGAGGGAGGACAGGGCTGGGTTCCAGAGGAGCCACAGTGGCACCCTCTGAGTGGTCGCTTCTGGACTAGGGGGATCCAGCTTAACAAGGGCTCCTTCGAAGTCACCCCTAAAGGGTTTCAGGGAGTTTGTGAACCCTGAAAACAGATGTGAAGTGTTGGATATATGTGTATATGCTGAGAGGAGGCTCTCAAATTTTCATGAGATTCTCAAAAGATATCATGAACCACTTGGGGAGAGAAGGTTCCATCCTTGGCTTCGCCAGCCAAATGCAGGAGTCCGGAGATGCAGAGCATAGGTCAGGTCTCTGTTTTCAGCACTTGCTCAACCAGCAAAAGCAGGAGGGTCACTCTGGTTTACAAGTTGGGAAAGGTTGACATATAAAGTGCTGATAGAAGAAGGTGGGCACTGAAGTTTCTGGAAAACGTGTTATCATTGGCTGGAGAGCACCTTGCGTGCTCACCTCTCCCCACTAAGGCCTGGTGGCCACCTCCCTAGCCTAGGGAGCCTCATTTGTGCTTCTGGGGAAGATGCCAACAGTCAAGATGTGGGAGAAGCAACCTCTGATATTCCTTCTATTTAGCTGTGTCACATCCTGTGTTTTCCTTTCGTCTTTTCCTGGGACTTAGAAGTGGGCTTACTCCAGAAAATGATTTGCAGATGGTTTTGTTTTTCTGACTGGTTTATAAACACACACAGACATTTATACTCATCAATGGATGCAAAAATAATATTGGGGAAGCATCCTGGTTTTTTCCCCCCAGACATTTATATCCCACAAATAATGAAAAGCATGGAAGAAAAATGAGAAAATATAGTGCTATAGAAAAAAAGCCCACCACTTAAAAATGCACAACTAGGAGACAACCATTGTTGACATTTTGATACATATATCCAGGGATTTTCCTGAACGTCTACGTGTGTATAATATATACTGTATAGTGTAAATGCATATATTTGAACATAAAAGGGATCATACTGTTCATACTATATTGCAATCTACTTTTCATTTAAAAATATGTGTATTTCATAAACGTGTTTTCACATTAAGGTATATGCTTCTGTTTTATCATTTTTACTGGCTGTCCTGTCATCCATTACATCAGGGGTCCCCAACCCCCCGGGACGGCGGGCAAGCAAGCGAAGCTTCATCTTCCTTTCCTCATCGCTTGCATTACCGCCTGAATCATCCCCCCCACCCCCGCCGTCCCCTCCCGTCCCCCCAGGCCATGGAAAAATTGTCTTCCACGAAACCGGTCCCTGGTGCCAAAAAGGATGGGGACTGCTGCATTACATGATACATCAGGATTTTTTTTAACCCATCCTCAATTCAACCTTTGGGGAGTTGGGAACTTTTTCCTATTATAAACAACATTGCAGTGAATGTTCTTGCATGTACATCCTTGTGAACTTGTATGAGTATTTCTTCGAGCTAATTTCTTAGGAATGGAATCCCAGGGTCCAGGAGAATTCATACGTATTTCCATATTGCTCTCCAGCAAAATACCTTGCACCAATATTCACTCCTACCCAGAGTGCAAAGGAGCTTTTATTTCCTTCTTCTCGCACAGATACTGAGAATCATCATTCTAGTGGCTTTATATGCTATTTGTGTTGTTTTAATTTGTAAGTCTGATTCCTAGTGAGATTAAATACTTTTAAAATATATTTATAGTCATTTGTGTTTCTTCTTGAACTCCCTATTCCTGTCCTTGGCTTGCTTTTCTCCCAGATCGTTCGCGTTAATCTTTATTCTTGATTTGAAATCGTCCTGTATATTAAGTATATTACATTTGATTATATTACATTTGATTACATAGGACTCTTCCAACTGAACTAGGTTCAAGCATGACTCTAACTGGTCTTTGAAAATACCCAATGCCTATTTCTATTCAGCCCTGAATAGGGTGCAAATATTTTTCCAATGTCATTTGTCTTTTAAATGTATATAAAGTATTTCATTCTATATATCATATTTTAATTTTATTTTGCACGTATGCATTCCCTTTAACAGGAAAGAAAATGGTCTTTAGCCAAACCACTGAAGTAAAGAATGCAAATCTCGTTTGTTCTTTTTTTTTTTTTAACATCTTTATTGGAGTATAATTGCTTTACAACGTTGTGTTAGTTTCTGCTGTATAACAAAGTGAATCAGCTATATGTATACACATATCCCCATATCCCCTCCATCTTGCGTCTCCCTTCCACCCTCCCTGTCCCACCCCTCTAGGTGGTCACAAAGTACCGAGCTGATCTCCCTGTGCTATGCGGCTGCTTCCCACTAGCTGTATACAATTACATCTTAATATTTTCTTTTGATTTCTTGTTTCGTGCTAGAAAGACCCTAGGTATCAAGATTTTATAAATATACTCATATTTTTCTAATTATGTATAAGTTAATTTTGGCCATGCAAATATTTAATACATTTGAAATGTATCCTGGCATCTTATGGGAGATAAAATACAATCTTTTCTCTAGAATATTTAGCAAATCTCCAACTGCCTACTCAGCATTCACTTTTGGATCTCCCTCAGAGACACCTCAGGCTCGTATATTTTCTTCTCCTTTCTTTCTTTAAATATTTTCCAGCTCATTAAATGATATTACTACCGCCTGAGCTGTTCTGGATGGAAACTCAGGAATCATTTTGATGCCTCCTCTTCTTTCTCCTTACCTGCATCCAACCACCAAGTCCCAGAAGCCTCTAGATCCTCTCACTTCTTCCTAGAGCCAACACCAGGCTGCCTGCACCTCCGCCTGCACTAGTGCAAGGTGTCCCCACACCCATTCCCCTTCACCCCTAAACATTTGCCACACTGAAGAGACCTTTTAAATTAAAATCTAATCTTGTCTCTCCCTACTTAAAACCACCTACTGGCATTTCATTGTCTTTAAGAAGAAAAGCAAAGCCCTTAACTTGATTAAGACCTGGGAGGTCTGGCCCCATCTGGTCTTTCCAGGCTTTTCCTGGGCACCCCCATTGCTGTTGGATTCTTGAGCACCCATGTCAGGCTCTTCTCAGTGAGGTTCTTCCCCCGGACCTCCTGCCTCGCAATCCCCTGTGCCTCCCCTGCCCCCCATACACATGCTGTAGCTGGAAAGTCTACCCCTAGGCTTTTGTTCAGGGTCCTTACCCTGATCGCAGGGTGCGGTAGGAAGTAGGTTCAGACGTCGCTCTAACTGGGCTTTGACAGCAACAATTGCCTGTCTCTAGTCAGCCCTGTTAATTTTTCAAACTGCAGGGGACCACAGACTATTTCCTAAAGTTGTTCGGAGAGTTGCACTATTAATGTGTTTTACAGAACACTGGTCAGATGAGATACTCCGTGGAAAAAATGTCTGTGCCCCCCAAAATTGGGGGACTTGGTACCTGCCATGTGGAGGTTCATAAAGAAGGCCCACACATCACAGGCACTTACAGTCAAGAATCTTGTTTGCCTTTGTTTATTTCCAAATATATTTGATCATATAACTTTTTTTTTTTCCCTTAAAAAAGAACCTATTCTGAGAACTAGCATTCCAGGGGAGGGACTGATAAAAAGTTAGCTATCATCATGTAAGGAATCATGGTGCCTCTGTGAGTTGCTACCTTGGAACTAAATCCTCTTTCATTATAACTGAGGTTTAGCAAAATACACTCTTGGCCAGCTATTAAGTGCTCAAAAGCTCCCTAATTTGACTGAGTGGAGCGAATTAGGCAACTCATTGTTATCTAATTAGACACGCCATCCAGTGTCACATTTACCTTTTGAGACTGGCTTTTTCAGTTGGCTCAAGACACTTCACTCTCAGGCCAGCAGACTAACTCTGGGAGGAGGTATGTGGGGAGCTCTGCCCTTCCTTGATGAATTTAGGCTTCTCCTTGAAAATACACTCCCTCCAGTCATCTGGACCCAGAGAGGTTCCCTCTCTTCAACCCCTGCAGGCCTTCTACACAGATGTCTCCTTAAGACCTGGCCTGCATCCTGTCCATTTTTTGAATAACGGAGAGGTGGTAGTGGCGGCGGTGGGACATCAGGGGGAGCTACTCTTAGTTCACGGTTGAATTATTAGTGAAGGTGAGGACGGTACAGGTGTGGGGAGGGAGAGTGGATGGGGGAAGAAAGCTGCTGATGGCAAAGCAGCGAGGGAGGACAGGGCTGGGTTCCAGAGGAGCCACAGTGGCACCCTCTGAGTGGTCGCTTCTGGACTAGGGGGATCCAGCTTAACAAGGGCTCCTTCGAAGTCACCCCTAAAGGGTTTCAGGGAGTTTGTGAACCCTGAAAACAGATGTGAAGTGTTGGATATATGTGTATATGCTGAGAGGAGGCTCTCAAATTTTCATGAGATTCTCAAAAGATATCATGAACCACTTGGGGAGAGAAGGTTCCATCCTTGGCTTCGCCAGCCAAATGCAGGAGTCCGGAGATGCAGAGCATAGGTCAGGTCTCTGTTTTCAGCACTTGCTC